AAAATTCACGTTATGGACATGAACTCTGCGTCTTGGACTTTGGACACGGAGTTGGGCTCTGCGTTTGGGTCTGAAACCACAGTGGTGAACCCTGCGTTTGGATCTAAAAACGCAATGGTGAACCTTGTGTTTGGGTCTGAAAACGCAGTGGTGAACCCTACGTTCTGTTCTTGGAACATGGATGTGAGTTTCACGTTTTGTTCTTGGGACGCAGTAATGAGCTCTGCGTCTTGAGTCTAGAATGCAGAGGTGAGCTTCTGCGTCTTGAGGTGAAGAGACTGTCAACTTGTAGTCTCTTTTGTTTAGAGCGTTGCAAAGATTGTCGTCTCGTAATCTTCATCTTGGCTCATTGAAACATGAGAGTCGTCAGCTGTAACTCTTGTTGATGATTGTGAAGGCTGTCGAATCAGAATTCCATCGGTTTTTGTGAACGTCATTGAATTGTAACCTTCGTCGATTGACGTGAAAATCTCCCAATTGTAACCTTCTAAAAATCATCAAATTGTAACTTTCATCCTTGGTATTTGATGGGGATCAACTATCTGTAAAAATTTTTAGACAGCATACACATGTGTATTTATCTTTGTAGTTCATAGCTTTCCAAAAGAGATCCTATGAAGGACAACTAACTATGAGAGAGATTCAAGAGTGTCATGAGAGGCTCTTTATCATCTATGAGCGAGGAGTTGACACTCATAATCTATGAAAGTATGCCAATCTTGTGGGGCTCCATTAGAGTAGGATTTGGTCCAATGATGAAGAAGGTGAGCGAGAGAACGAAAACTACATTCATGCATGAGTTTTACATAAATTATGTTTTGGAGCATGGATTTAATGTTGCGGTTACCAAAGATAGAGGGAAAACCAACAAGATTAGTGCTGATTTAGAAGATCCCTAGTCTTCCAACCCCTTAGAGAGGCTATCAGGATCCCTTCATATTTAACTAATGTTGTGGTCGGTTCTAAGGACTACAACCACATGATAAAGTTTTTTATGGGAAGACTCACTCCGTGGTATTCATATCATGATAGCTAAAGCCTTAATATATTCTCCTAACCTCTTTCTAAAATTTGATATGTGCCCTAGTGCTGCTTATGCTACTTTGAGTGTCCCGGATGTTATTATCTTGTACTAGATAGTGAGTGGTCAGTCTTTTGAACCAGTACAAATTATATTCGTACGGATGTCTATAGCTGCTATTACTACTAGGGAGGTTACTGAGAAGAGGTCAAAGCAGAAGAGTCAAGTTGATATATCCTTTCTTAATTACACAAATCTACGAGGATTAGAGGATTTCTACACTTGAGTTGATTAGTTTCAGAAGGCGAGAGCTATATTATCAGATGAGGCGGGGAAGAAGAACATAGCTGCGAGGAAGGGAAGTCTACTACTAGGCAATCATCTAGATCCTAGTGTGCTGCTACATAGTTTCGGAAGATACACTCTTTAGGCACTTGAACCCTCTTGGATCACAACTAGACAAATAGAAGTAGGGCGAAGAGCAATGACACGATATGCGCAGCGTGGTGGAAAAATATGGGTACATATGTTTCCCGACAAACATGTTACATTAAGGCCTACGGAAACACATATGAGTTTGGGAAGGGATCCCTCGAATATTGGGTATCCGTTTTCCCCTAATCCATTCGATATTGGTGTTCTTTAGTGGTGTTTGCAATCACTATGAGAGAATACAACGTAGGTGAAGATGGAGATGACTTCAAAGCACACTTATTATGATGCATTGTTGTAGTATATCATGGGAGCTCTTCATCGCTCGGACCCGTCTCTTGGTAGGCCACCAGTACATGGAGATTATTTCATCGAAACTATTCCTTCTACTAGAGATCATGATGAGGAGATGTGGGGATTTTGTAATGATGATTGAGAGATGAGATTGTGTTTAGCTTCAGGTCTATTCGTTTCTCGTTATTTTTTTATCCTAGACATGTATATATTTGGTGATGCTTGAGATATAACATTTGTGCATTAACTATTTATCTGCTCGTAGTTGATTAGATATCTTGTTTAGTTTCATATCCTACTCTTTATCTACTCTTAGTTGATTAGATATCTTATTTAATTTCATATCTTTGCATGCTTACCTCATCTGTTGTATGTATATAATTTTTTTCCTTGATTTGTCTTATAGTTTTCTTAATTTTTCATGAATTTTCTTAAAAGTTTCTTTATTTTTCTTTGATTTTTAAATTTTTTGTAAAAAAAACAAACAAAATTTTCTCTTTCTTACTTTTTGTTTTCTTTTTAAAACATGAAAAATGTTAGACATGCCTATGTATATGCTTTTACCATATTGATTCAGATGATACTATCTTTGGTATATCAGATTGACTATATCACACATGTTCAGATATGTAGAATCCTAGAAGAACCTTTGTGGAGGAGAAGAAATGATATTTGAAGGTTACATGGTTGAATTCAAGTATTGACCCCAGGCAAAGAAACATACTATTAACTTTCAGCCAACCAGAGTAAAAGTTCAATCTATTACAACTACTATGATTCCAAAATTTTAATTTATATTCTAGAGGAACTAACATGATCCTCCTTCAAAAGTTATTGCTAGAACTTTCTACCAATTTTGAAAGAAAACCATGGCAAGTTCAAATGATTCTAATTGATGTGGAAACCTTCAAAGGTATTCAACCTAACCATCTGTCGAGGTGATCAGTTAGCAAAGACATTTTGACATAATTGGGAAACTCATAAGTTTATTTAAAAAAGGTCATGGTAAATAATAATTCAAGCATATATATATATAAATCACTACAAGAAATCAAGTCTTTAACGACCAAAATTAGTGAAGGGGTCATGTGACCGTCATTAATGTGTATAAATTAACGACGGTTTTAAAAACCTTCATCGAGTAATCACAAATATTAGAGTAATGATGTGAGATAAGATAACGGTTTTTTAGTCCCTTCATTGATTTGATTCTAATACCGTTGTTATTGGGCCCCCTGAAAGACGAAGGAGTCCATTACCGTCATTAATTATAACTCCTAATCATATCAGGAATACTAATCAAAATAATATAAAGAACCGAACCCAAACCTCCCTATAACCGCAACTAATAAACCCTAAAAAAACCGTGTTACTGTTCATCCTCTTCTATTCATCGCCTAATCTTCGTCGTGCCTGCCCCAGCGCCAGCGTCGTGCCCACCCCAGCGCGAGCGTCACTTGGTCTTCGTCGTGCCCGGCTACCCTAGTGCCAGCGTCAGCCTAGTGCCAGCACCGCCCCAGATCAAACCCCTGCGCTGCCCCAGCGCCGCCCTATCCCCAGCGCCGCCTAAGCGCTAACGTCGTCCTCTGAATCAGTCCAGTGGCGCCGCCCTAGCGCCGTCCTCAGTCGAGCGCCCTCCTCCGAATCAAGACTTGAACTCAGTTTTCTCTATCTTCACGCTTTTCATCGACCAAAATCAGGTAACTTCTTTGTCTATTGATGACATAATCTATCCGTCCTCCGAATCAACACTCAAATTGCATACACACCTAATTATATATCTGTTTATTGATGATCTGATTTTTTGACATTATCATATGTGAATATCTAGGGCTTGAATATTTGAATCTCTATAATTATATATCTTTTCGTAATTTTGATACTTTTTGTTTTTGTTTTTCGTGCAGGGGAAGAGTGTGCAGAGTACTTCCAGGTTGCGGAGTGGGAGAGTATACATTCATCTCTTCTTCTCTTTTGCAAATATTATATTACTGCCTTTATTGCTTAAACATTTCATTTCAGTACTTGAATTTATCGTCAACCAATAAATTTTCCTTGGTGAGGTGCAATTGGTGATGCCTGTGTACTTCGATTTGAAATATTTATTTAGTAATCTATGTGAGTTTCATTTTGTTATGCACGGCATCCTATGACCTGATTTATTTGTTATTTGCTTAGTTTTGCTAGTGTGATTGGATATGCCCATTATTTAATTTAAAGTCCATCTAAAGATATCTGATGTTGGCTAAAGTTTGCTTAACATGATATCTCATACCTGAAATTGTCCATAAGATAAATATTTGTTATAGTATGCCAGTTTGCTTCATTCTTGTATTTCATCCATTAGTGTCAAAAATAGACTTGGTTATTTTGTTGCCTGTTCTCTGAATTTTAGTCCATGTTGATCTTTAATGTTAGCATCATCTTGCTCTACTTTGTAATATCAACTCTTGAGTTCTGACAATTTTGCTTCTGTTTGAATGTTGTGCCTTCTTCTGAATTTTGGTCCATTGTGCTTAAAGATGATATCTCAGTACTGAGTTTATCAGTAATGTTGATAATATTTGATGTGGCATGCAGACAAAGTGATCATTCAGCGTGTTTCAACTGGTAATCTACAAAAAAACTATTTGGCTCACGGACCAACCGTGAGCCCCAACTTGCGTGAGAGGAACAAGGGGGGTGGGCCCCACAGCAATGTGGGGCCCACCCCCCTGTTCCTCTCACGCGAGTTGGGGTTCGCGGTTGGACCACGAGCCAAATAGCAATGCTCGGTAATCTACATGCTTAGTCCTATTGCCTATATCTGATTTGACATATGTGATGATCTTATGTTAGTTTCAGTTTATTATAGTCGCATTCTGTTACTTGAATTTATCTCGTATTTTATCTTACTTTTGCCAGCATGCTTCATTCTCTTTTTTCATTAATGTAGTCTAATTTTGCTTAAAATGGAGTCTCAGAATCTGAATTTAGCCATAAAAGAAAATGTGTTTGATCTAATATGCTAGTGTGCTTCATCTCTTCGTCCGCTGTAATTGAAAACTGTCTTCCACTTGCCCACAGTGCCTGCATTTATCGGTAAAATGCATGTCTTTCATGAAGCCGCACTTCTAAATTTGTCTTCTATGGGGCTACTTATATTTCTAAGTACATAGCCAGTAACTGCTCTGAAATTATCAGTTACACATAATTGAATTTATCAGTAAAATGTCTGTCTTTCATGAAGCTGCACTTCTAGGAAATTATCAGTTACACATAATTGAATTTATCAGTAAAATGTCTGTCTTTCATGAAGCTGCACTTCTAGCTAGTTTGCCTTCTACAGGACTACTTATATTTCTAAGTACATAGGCAGCAACTGCTCTGAAATTATAAGTAACCTTACATACTAGCATTGATCCTGGATTTAATGGCACCTGAATTTAATATTTCTAAGTACATATCCAGTATAAAATTAGCAATCACGGATAATATTTTCTTAGTAATCACAGTGTGTCTCTTAATACATAGAGTGGACATAAATAGCAAAGCCTCTATCCTACACGTAGAAGGGACTTGCTTTATGAATTTATCAGTAATCTTAGATACAAAACCTTTAATATGGCCGATTTATTGGCACCTGCATTTATCAGTAACCAATAATATTTTCTTAGTAATGCTAGTAAGTAGAATATATATTTAAGTTTGATAATGATGCATTATATAGTACTAACATATGAATTTAATTTTTATAGGATGAAATCGTTCAAGTCAAACAAGCAAACCCTTCACTTTTAGACATTGAGATAATTGAGAAAATTTAGGGGAAACAATCTCATGACCACATTACTGTATTTTGTGGCGGGACAACTTTGAAAGATCTAAGAGGACCGCTCCCTAGTCGATCTGATCTGGAAGCACGGGTTATAGAAGAAAAGAAAAAGAATCAGACGCTTCAATAACGCTTAAATGAGTAGGGGCAACAACAACATCAACAACAACAAAGGATGTCAGACTTATAGAGTCACAAGTTAAAGCAATGCATGAACTTTTTTTAAGGCAACAATTTAATACTTCATTGACTCCTCAAACTTGAGAACATGTGCATAACTAGGTAATTATTTTTGTAAAATCTCTTATATACTTTTATGGTTGACTACTTGCACTAGAGAAAATACGATAGGTAATTATTTTTGTAAAATCTCTTATATACTTTTATGGTTGACTACTTGCACTAGAGAAAATACGATTTTTACCTAATAAGACAATATTTGTTTAATTGATATTTCTTAATTATGTGATTTTTTTATTTTTTTCAGGAAATCCACCTGATGTGGCACAAATGTTTCATTAAACTCGAAAGAAAGCTAATGAAACACTAGATATTGGGGATCAAGATAAATATGTAAGTAGAATATGTGTTTAAGTTTGATAATGATATATTATATAGTACTAACATATGAATTTAATTTTTATAGGATGAAACTGTTCAAGTCAAACAAGCAAACCCTTCACTTTCTGACATTGAGATAGTTGAGAAAATTTGGGGAAAGCAATCTCATGATCACATCACTGTATTTGGTGGCGGGACTACTTTAAAAGATTTGAGAGGACTGCTCCCTAGTCGATCTGATCTGGAAGCACAGGTTATAGAAGAAAAGAGAAAGAACCAGATGCTTTAACAACGCTTAGATGAGCAGGAGCAACAACAACAAATGATGTCTGAGTTGGACTCACAAGTGAAAGCTATGCAAGAACTTTTTTTTAGGCAATCACCTTCATTGACTCCTCAAACTCGAGAACGTGTGCAGGACTAGGTAATTATTTTTTGTAAAATCTTTTATATACTTTTATGATTGACTACTTGCACTAAAAAATATGATTTTTACTTAATAAGATAATATTTGCTTAATTGATATTTCTTAATTATATGATTTTCTTAAATTTTTCAGGCTATCCATGCAATTAGAGATAAAAGAATGTGTTTTCCACAAACTTTTATTTTAATTTGTTTTAGATAGTTTCATGTATTTTTCTTTGGAACGATTAGGATATTAACTCTTGTTATTAGTATTGAATATTTGAGGATGGTGGAATTTTATTTATTTATGTTATTAATGGAATTTTTATTTTCCCTCTTGTTCATTATTGGGTATTTTTAATATATTTTTGTTGTGAATCTTAATATCAGATTGAGAATAATATGATAGTTGCCTATGAATGAAAAAATTATTATTAATGTATATTAGAAATTTGTAGTCTATAATGACGGTTTTATAAACCGTATTTTGTTCATCAACGAAGGGAAAGCACCATCGTTGATGGGTTACTAATTACCCATTATGAGGACTTTTACGATGGTATCCAACCGTCATTAATTAGTCTTTACTAATTACCCATTATGAGGACTTTTACGATGGTATCCAACCGTCATTAATTAGTCTTCAACGATGGGAAAATATCCCCGTAACTAATGGTGACGACAGGAAAATATCCCCGTAACTAATGGTAACGACGGGAAAATATCCCGTCACTGATGGTAACGACGGGAAAATATCCCCATCACTGATGGTAACGACGGTGATAATTACCGTCGTAAATATTAACGACGGTAATATGTTCCGTCGTTATAGACTCTATAACGACGGGTAGTATATCCCTTCATGACCCTTTAGCGAAGAGGGTTTCAACGACGGGTGACGAAGGGATTTTTCCCCGTCGTTAGCATACAATAACGAAGGTTTTCAGTGCTTTAACGAAGGGAAATCCCTTCGTTAAAGATGTAATTTCTTGTAGTGCTTCCTTCCGTTTCGCTGGCTGGCTCAACACACAATCTTTTTCCAAATACCGCACTGGCTTCTTTCTTGGCTGTATGGCTATAGAAATGTGTTACACCCTCCCAGCCGAGCGATTGCTTATCAGTCAAGGTATTGTGTCCTGCAATAGTTCTCGTGCACGGTCAGCCCATTGGGTTTACTTCGGGCTATGATATCACCGGTACTCAGAGGAGGTTATGACAAGTTCGCCATGACTTCTGTACTGGCAAAGCTAAAAAAAGGCGGGAAGGATGCAAATCCCAGAGTCAAGCTCCCATACAGATATCTAACTGATATCTAATTGCACGGTTCACCATTCATTCCTCAGAACTGAAGCACCTCGTGAAACAAGGGGACTCCGTTCTCAAATGGTACGTACGAGGGCATCCACTGGAAATACAACTATGTAGCGAAAGTACGGATCACCTTGGCTTATGACACGAATTATGATGTCTACCGAATGGCAGCAATTTCCATTGCAACATTTGCTGCAGTTAATTTTTGCAGCAAACCAGACCTAAACAATTATTGTTAACGTATGCAATTGAAAGAAACAAAAATTTCAAAGGGATGTTTGTGCAAGAAAAACAGAAGGGCTGCTAATGGATTGTACTCTGTAATGGAATCACCTCTAATCTAGGATCCGTATTACCCATATCCTAGCAGCGCGCGCGTTCATGGCAAGTTTTAGCCACATAGTATCTTCAGTATTTCTAAAACAATTGCTGTATTGAAAACCACTTGCCTCGAAAACCACTACTAAAAATCCTATGTAGCTAAAAATCTTGTTAATTGAAATTGGAAAAAGGGTTAAGATAAGGGATTCTCTCCAATTGCCGTTTAGTCGGAAAAGATACTGATCCATCTAAATTGGAGGTGTCACCACATTAAGGGCCTCATGACTTCATGATGTGGGCATGCTTAGCCTCCAATCCATACATTAGAACATCTCCAAGGGTTCCCTTGGATGTCCCTTAATTTAGGGGGAACTATTGGGGAAGGGATTGGTTCTTCTCCAATGGTTCCCCTTAAAATCCCCCAACCCCTTAATTAATTATATTTAGTTTTTTAATTTTATGAATTATGATTTAATTAAAATATGTAGTTTATTTATAAATGAATAAATAATTAAATATTAATAACTAAAAATAATTAATTAATTAATTAATCTAAATTAAGAAATTACTTTTATAATCATTAAATTAATTAATTAAATTAAAATTTAACAAATAATTAATTTAGATAATAATTAATTTATATAAATCGTGTTAAAAGTTAAATATTATTTTAAATTTAAATTCATATTATTTTAATATTAATTTTATTTAACAATAATATCTCAACGGTCATATTTCAACGGTCATATTCTAACGGTCATATTTCAACGGTCATATTTTAACGGTCGTATTTCAACGGTCGTTTTTTAATTAAATGTGGTCACTCCTTCTATAAATAGCACTACCAGTGTCCTTCATTTTCACTAAATTCAAATTCATTCAATTTTTTTAACCCAATCTTCAATATTATTTATGGCTAGTAATTTGTTACGTGCCTTGCTACAAGAGGAAGAGGATGACGACGATGATGATTACGCGACCTTATTAGCAATCGCATCTTTGGAAGAACACCACTCCAGCGAAGGTCAAAGTTCTCGTCGTCGTGGTTCCATTCCAGGGCACGCTGTAATTCAACGCAATAGAGCTGAAGGTCACGAGAGGCTTTTTCATGATTATTTTAGTGAATCTCCTGTGTATCCAGCAAAACTATTTCGAAGGAGGTTTCGTATGCATCGCCCACTATTTTTGCGTATTTTATCCGCAGTGGAAACACATGATTCCTACTTTGTCCAGAAACGGGATGCTGCTGGGAAAATTGGTTTATCCTCACTACAGAAAGTA